GATTACAGGCACACACTGCCACACCTGGCTGATCTTTGTATTTTCAGTAGAGATGGAGTTTCACCATCTTGGCCAGACTGATCTCAAACTCCTGACCTCAAGTGATCCGCCTGCCTCAGTCTCCCAAAGTGCTGGGATTACAAGCATGAGCCACCACACCTGGCCTGCTTACCACTATAATTTTTTAGGAAGGTTTAGTGCTGGTGAGATGTACGACAGTGTGTATGGGTTTGTGTGCAGGTTAGGTGCTTACTATTCAAAGTGTGGTCCAAGGTCTAGCAGCATCAGCATCACTCGGGAGCTTGTCAAAAATGCAGAATCTAGGTAGGCATGGTGGCTCACACCTGTAATCTCAGAACTTTGGGAAGCTGAGACAAGAGGATTGCTTGAGTCCAGGAGTTCTAAGGCCATTTTGGGCAAGATAGCAAGACCCTGTGTCTACAAAAGAAAGAGAGAGAGAGAGAAAGAAAAAGAGAAAAGAGAGAAAGAGAGAGAGAGAGAGAAAGACGAAAGAAAAGAAAGAAAGAAAGAGGGGGGGGGAGGGAGGGAGGGAGGGAAAGAAAAGAAAGAAGAAAGAGAAAGAAAGAAAGAAGGAAAGGAAGGAATGAAGGACGGAAGGAAGGAAGGAGAAAGGAAGAAAGAAGAGAATGAGGAATGAAGGAAGGGAGGGAGGGAAGAATCTTAGGCCCCACCCAGACATACAGAACTGCAATCTGCATTTTAACAAATTCTTCAGGTAATATCATTTATCATCACATTAAAGTCTCAGAACTACTGGGTTAGTTTATGCTATGGTGTGGAATAATCCTAAAAGTTCTGTGTCTTGAAACAACTAAGATTTATTTCTCACTGATGCTGAAGTCTGTCTGAGAGCAAGCAGGTAGCAAGTAGGGAACTCTGCTTCATGTCATCCTCACCAGAGCCCCAGGCTGACAGAGCCTCCACCATTTGAACAATCACTAGTCATGTGGCAGAGGAGGAAATGTGTGACTCTTGTGCTTCCCTCATATTTCACTGGCCAAATCAAATCCCATGGCCATGCCTATCTTCAAGGAGGTGGAAAAAACATCCTGCTATGTACCTGGAAGGAGGAGAATCGAAATACTGCTGAAGCTAGGGGATCCTCAAGGCAGGCAGGCCTTTCAAGGGGTTATGACAATACAGACGTAACCAGATTCAGGGAAAGTATATCAATACAGAGGAAAAGGAGAGCATAAACAGAAGAAACAGTTCAGAATAATGATTCTGAATGGGCACTCAAGGAAGACTCCAGCTTTACAGTCTCATTGACTGGGCAAGTAGTGAAGATTTTCATGGAAAACGAACATTTTGGAGGAATGGGTTAGGGTGGGGAGTGGAAAGGCTGAGTTTGGAATGGACATGCTGAGTCAGAAATCAAGGTGAATATTCACCACTTGTTTATCTTTCCAACCTCATGTTGTATCCCCTCCCCCACTCACTCACCATGCTCCAGCCACACTGGCCTTCTGTTCCTCATGCACCAACCTTGTTCTCATCTTAGGGTTGTCATACGTACTGTTCCTTCTGCTGGCCCCTTCTCCAAGTCTGTCATGACTGGCTCCTGCCTGTCATTCAGAACTCACCATACATGTCATCTCCTCAGAAAGGCCTTCCTTGGCTATACAAATGTAGCCACCCAGTCACACTATATCATACCACCCTATTTCAAAGATCAGCATGGCATCCAGAGCTGATATTTTGTGTGTGTTTTTCTGTCCCACCTCCCCACCCCCATCATTAAAAAGCTCCATGAGAACATGGACTCTGTCTGTCCTGTATCCCCAGCTTCAAGTACACAGTTGGTACTCAATAAACATTACTGAATGTTCCCATGGAATTTTCAGTTAAAAGTATGCAATAAGGGAAATAAAGATAGGTTCCAATGAGGACAACTGGTTTGGAATGGCAAAGTTCTCTAAGGTATTAAAGATGACCATGAAGCATTAAACTTTTAGGGATGTTCCACTTTAATGGCTAGAGAAGTGTAAGTGACTGAGAAGTCTAAAAGGTAGAGCGGTTTCTGAAGCTAGGAAAAAGTGCCAGTGAGGGGTGGGGGCAAGCGTTATCTCTGTTAAGAAAAACCGGAATAGAAAAAGACCATTGGATTTGGAAAGGTCATTTATGACCAATGAATAAGAGAGTGAAAAATGAAAAGAGCTTAAGGAGAGAAAGGACATAGAGGTGGATAGGTCATCACTTGAGTAATCTGGCAGTAAATGGAATTAGTACTCTAGCAGGATTGAATGGGTTTTTGGTAGACCTATTCATTTCTCAAGCTAAATATGCTAGAGAAATGGAGAGACTGAACATGCTGTGGGGGATTTCCTTTTTAAAAAAATTTTTTGAGACAAAGTTCTGCTTTGTCACCCAGGCTGGAGTGTAGTGGCGTCAACACAGCTCACTGCAGCCTCGGCCTCCCTGGTGCAAGCAATCCTCCCCCCAGTAGCTGAGACTACAGGTGCACGCCACCATACCCACCTAATTTTTGAATTTTTGTACTTTTTTGTATTTATTATTATTTTGTAGAGACGGGGTTTTGCCATGTTGTCCAGGCTGGTCTCAAACTCCTGAGCTCAAGCAATCGTCGCACCTCGGCCTCTCAAAGTGTTGGGGTTACAGGTGTGAGCCACTGCGCCGGCCAGGGAGAGGTTAACTAGGTTAATGGACCCCCTAGGGTGTCCACATGGCACCTTCAGGGACTCTGAAATGCAGAAATTATATGCAAAATTTTGGGTGCACAGAGGGGATGGGAGGTAGAAGTAGGAGAAGAGAATTCGTAGGTTTATTATTTTCCAAACGGTCGCGACCCAACGGTTAACAACGACCGCTTAAGAGTACAAAAAGTTTTTAAAAAGGAAGCCCAGAGAAGGGCTAAACTTTAGAAAGTAAAAAAGGAAAACATCCTTCCTATCCAAGGAAAGGCTATAAACAGATGAAAAAGTCCACAGTTGCATCATCTGGGTAAAACAGAGAAGACAGAGCTGGAAACCGCGGGCGGCTTGTGCCAACACGCTCAGGGAAGGCAAACGGAAGGCGCCCGTGCTCCCTAGCGCAGGAGGTCCTAAGGCCGGGAATCGCTGGCCTTGCCTCTCAGGACCCGGGCTGACCCGAGGCAGGCAGAGGCCCTCATCACCAGGCGGGGGGCCCATCAGCGCGCCGGCTCAGGAACAAGATGCTGATGCTTCAGACTGGGCCGGGCAGTGCGTCCGAGCTTCCCCACAGCCGCCGCACTTTCCTGCTGCCTTTGGGATGCGGCCTCCAGCCCCGCCTCGCCACCGGCCGTCATCTCTGAATCATCCCGCCCATTTCGACATCTTCCTTCCCCGCCTTCGGCTCTCGGCCTGGCGCAGAGCCCAGTGACAGCCGGGGCCCGGAGGACCTCATTCATTCAACACTTGCTGGGTTTACTGTGCGAACGTGGATGCGAGGCTCAGTGCCGGGCGCTGGGGCCTGAGGAGCACTGGGTCCGGCCCCAGGGCCCACTCCAGACCCGACAAGAGTCTAGCGGGCCGCCGCGGTCCCCCCCTGGCTGTGAGGCGGTTCCCGGCCCGCATGTCGCAACGGCTTCCCGGACAGGCTGCTGGTCGCGCCAGCCAGAGGATGACCGGTCCAGGCCGGCTCCGCCTCATGCCCGAGACGAGATCCCGCGGGAACACGGCTCTCCGGGGCCAGGGCCGCCCGCTCTCCAGCCACGCGTCTCAGAATTTGAGGAGCGCACTCGAGCGCTGGTCGTAACGGTGCCCGTCAGCAGTTTGACGTTGAAGGCCTGTCACCGCCCCGCCCCCGACGCGATCCCGCGCACGGGGACCGCAGCTCTGCAGGCGCCAGCAAGGGGCCCGAAGTCGGCCCCTAGACTCCCTGGGCGCTTCGCTCTTTCTATAGCCAATCGGGGACCGACGTGGTGCGGGCCAATGGCCGCGGTCAAAGTATCAAGAGTGGTTGAGCCTATCAAAGTTCAGCCTTAAGTTTCTCCCGCCCTTCTAAAAAGTCAGAGGCGGGTTGATCGCACATGTCGGCCAATCAGTGACCAATAAACAAGAAGCTTCCAAGATCAAAGGGGAAAGGGTGGGATTTAGGCGCTAGCAACGCCTCAGGGCGGAGGAATGACAGGCGACTTCGCTAATACTACCGACTGATTTTTCTCACGTCAGGAAAAGGGTGGGTCTAACTCGGGGTCTGCACCAATGGTTGGTTGGGGGGCGTGTCCGCGGGGCCAAGCGGGAGCCGGAGGCCCCGGGCTCTCTGGGCCGCGCCTGAGGCGGACACTACGGGGCCGGGGGGCGGCGGCGGGACTGGTGGCAGCGGCGGCGGGGGTGGGCGCCGCAGCTGGCCCGGGTGGATGGAGTTGGAGGGGCGGGGTGCTGGCGGTGTGGCGGGGGGGCCGGCGGCAGGGCCCGGGCGGAGCCCCGGGGAGTCGGCGCTGCTGGACGGGTGGCTGCAGCGGGGCGTGGGCCGGGGGGCCGGCGGCGGGGAGGCCGGGGCCTGCAGGCCGCCGGTACGTCAAGATCCGGACTCCGGCCCGGACTACGAGGCGCTGCCGGCTGGAGCCACTGTCACCACGCACATGGTGGCAGGCGCCGTGGCAGGGATCCTGGAGCACTGCGTGATGTACCCCATCGACTGCGTCAAGGTGAGACCTGCACTGGGCTTCGAACCAGACCTGGGGCTGACCCGACCCCTGGGTCTTGTCCGGAGCCAGGATCCCGGCTGAGAGCCGGAGGCGACATGGGTTCCTTCCTGGCTCCTGCCACTACCACATGATTCGAACCGACACTCCATTCAAGCAAGGTCCCAGCTGGGAGTTGATCCCAGTCAGGAACCAGGACCTATTTCTAACCGTCAGTGAAATCTGAATCGGGACTCAGGATCGAAAATCTGTCAGCCAAAGCCCTGGACCCCACCTGGGACTAAACAGGAATAGGGTGGGATGGGGTATCCCGAAGCTCAGGTAAGTGCTACTAACTCGATTAAGGTGAAGCCCCTGGCGTGACCCAGACCCTGAAATGGATCTAACGGCTTGAGATGTTTTCTGGGCTAGTGCTTTTACAAACTCCTTACTGTATCTTCCTTTACTGACGGGGCAGGAACCCGAATCTGGAATCTTTCAGCTAGATAAAGGACTTACACGTTAAATCTTAACACATGAGTGATTGGAAATCATTGTGCAGTGAGAATGCAGAGTTCCAGACTGGAAGTAATATGGGAAAGATCGTATTCAGGAAAAGGTTTCAGTTTCTCTGTGAAGCAAGCATGATACCCCACCTATTTCCTGAACATGAAAATTGAGCTGGGATTAGGACTGTATGTGCAGGGAGCACATCAGCCTCCAAACAAGAGAGATGAAACTGATAGCAATTTCTTTGGCCACCTGAAGTTGACAAAAAGGGAGAAGTTGCCTAGAAAGGAAGTGTGACGGTATTAGAAAGTAGATGTAAGTATGAAGACAATGGAATGAGATCAACAAGAGGACACGATTCTTGTGAAAGTATAATTGCATTCACAACCAAGCAGGATGATTAATGTGTACAGAAGTCAGGTCCTTCTGAAGAAAGCTGGGTGAAGAAAGAAACAGATTATTGTTCTTTACAGTTCTTATTCTTGCATTAGTAAAGGTAGCAGCCACTAAAGGTGAGGACTGAATTGAGGGAGAGGTAAACTAGAGGGGACTGTTGATATGACAAAGACCGATACCTCCTTTACATGTTAAGGGTAATAGTCAAACAGTAACCTGGCAGCTTTTTGATTTATATTTCCTCGTCAAATCAGGAAAGTGTTATGTATTCAAAAGGAGGAAAGAATCAACTTGGGAAATGCAAAGTAGATCCCTTTTACCTCCCTCTGATTCCAGTACTGTTTCATGTTTTCCTTAGTAATGTGGATAAGGAAATGGGGGGAGTGCTCATTAAGCTTTGTGAATGACAGTAAACTGGCAGGAGTATTTTAGCACAAGGTAACTCCTAACAAGGGCCATATCCATTGAAAATGGGGTAAATGTACTTGACTAAAATGGACATTAGAATGTTAAATGCCCTTGTCAATTGGGAGAAATAGAAATAAACAGTAAAATCCATGAGAAGTAACAACATTGAAATGTAAAACGAGTAAGTACAAATAAAAAAGATGCATACATTATATGTATAGACTCTAGGTTGAATGACTTGTGAGTTAATAATGCCGTATATCCAAAAGTTAATATAATCTAGCTCCCTAGACTTAGATTAGGGAGTGAGTGCAGTATGAGTGGAGTGCAGGGTTTAGGATGCTGTTTTTCTGGATGAGTATTGAATGGAAAACAGATCAAAGAAAACCGTGAAAATTTATTTAATGGCTTGAAAAATACAGTGTAATAATTTATCTTAGATATATTACTGTAACTTACCAATTTAACCACTGTTCCATTATAACATAATGGGAGGTTATCTCCTTACTCCATATATTTACATCGTGCTATTGTTGCTATAAACATTTTATAAATCCCTGTTAAAAATGCTTCTAGAATATTTGGGTGCATGTCCTTAAGGGAGGCAAATCTTTGCCCTGTGATAAGATGGAATTGATTTTGCAGGAACAAAGACTATTCAGAATCAAATATGGTGAACAAAGTGGGAGGTCAAAATGGGTAATACTGTTGGCGTCAAAATAAGGTGGGACTTGAAAGCAAGGAGACTACTTTACTTCTGAGGCCTATAAACCCATTGAGGAAACACCTCTGAAAGAGAAGTTCCAGAAAGGTTTTGCATAACCACAGCATTGCTGGAATAAGTCAATTGTAGCCTTCCAAGGTAACTATTTTGAAGAACAGTTCTTACTCATTTACATAAGCTTTGGCATTTTGGTTTTTAAAAAATTAGTCATACAACATTGCAGTTATATCTTGAAAGCCCTCCTTTAAGGAAATAAAGATTTGAGAAAAAAATGCTCAGGAGTTGTCAACAATAACGAAAGCTTATTTTAGAAGGCTCATTTTGACTTGCACTTAATGCTGGGATTTAAATGACTTAGAGGGAAAAACTAGGTGAGGCCAGTATGATTTAGTGTCAGTGAGTATGTTCAATGCTTTTGTGCAGGCATGAAAGTAAAATTCAAATCCCTTCCTTCAGAAAGGGCTTCCCAGTTTGCTTGTTCCGGCAGTTATCCTTCTTCTTTTAATAAGTGGATGGTGGGGAGGAAAAGCAGCCCAGTCTTTAAGACTGGAGGCAGGTATCCATGTTGTTGGAGCCTAAAGGGCAACCATAGTGTTTGCAAATGAAAGCTGACATTGCCTCTTAGCATGCAAGCCTGTCCATCCTCAGCTACTTATCAGGGTCAAGTTGACTTTTAATATCCTTGAGAGGGACCATGAGAAGTCAGTGTAGCCTTGCTAGACCATCGTTATTCAACCAGCTATTTCCATGGCCATAATGGAGAGGCTTGGGAGCCCAGATAAATCCCAGTTTCCTTTTCTGGGCCTCAGAGGCAAGCGCCAGACTTTATCTACGGGGACAGATTCTGCAACCCAAAACGGTCAGAACCCTTCTCAAAATCATCTGGCTAAGTACCCACCTATCATCAAGCTGCTGTTGTTGGCTCTGAAGTGGTGAAGCAAATATCCACTTATATAATAAAGAGGGGAAGAGCAGAGGGAGATAAATCTCCAGTTTCCAAATGTAAATGGTATCTGTACATATTCACCTGTGAAAGGTTAGGAAATGGAAACATTAGCTTATTTGATTTTCTTGCATCTAATAATAAGTGTTCAGTGATCTTGTGTGCCAAGCACTATCTGAAGTACCTTACATACATTTATTCATTTAATCTGTGAAGCAACTTGATGAAGTAGAAACCATTTTCATTATTTTACAGTTGAAAGGAGGCTTAGGGAACAGTTATATAACTTGTCCAAGGTCACAGAGTTTAGGTGGCACAGTTGTGATTTGAACTCAGTGTATCAGACTCTCAAGCCTTCCGTATAGCTTCCCAAAAGCAGATTACAAGAACCAGGCAAGGCACAGAATTTCACAGTAAAGCTTGTCCCTGAACATATGACCTTCAGATTAATAGTGGGACATGTAAATCATTATAGCCACAGAGAAACTTTAAAAGGAAAACAAAAAATACAAAATTAACCCCGATTTATTAGTGGCTAAGGACAGTTAGTTGCCCATGTATATTTGTGAAATGACTTATACAGGAGGCAATGCTACCATGATCTGTAAATTCTTAGATATGAACAAATATATCTTAGACTCATTTTGAATACAATAAAGATCTTTATATTTCTAGCACCTTATAAATTACCAATGGCTTTTACATACCTTATCTCTTTTAATCCCCACAACAGCCCTATGAGCCAGTCATTCTTGGCCTGTTGTTATAGATGACAATTTTGAAGCTTAGAGAGGTTAAGTGACGTACCCAAGATCATACAACTAGCAAAGCTGAGGCTCAGACTCAGGCTTTTTGACTCAAATGTGGCTTGTCTTTTACCAAATCACTTACCTCTCTACTGGGTTGTTTGACTTTTCTCCAAGCCAGGTCAAGGTTTTTCATACTGAGATTTTTCAGAAATTCTTACTTAGATATTTCATCTTTCTGTAAAAGGCAGATTTATTGGCCCACAAACTTGGGGAGCCATATTTATATACTTAGCATAGCTTATGCCCAGGTCCTCTCCATAAGGGTGTATTTTTATCGAGTTAGAATTGTTGAGTTAGACTTAGATGTGTGTATAGAATGTTCAAAGTAGCTTCCCACAATCTGGTTTTCTCTTGGGGGTGAGGAGTTCCAGGCCTCTGAAGCCAAACCTTTCAGAATTGGTAGCCAAATACACCACTAACTGCGGCAGAGCAATGCAATTTCTGAACATTCTCCCTATACAAGATCAGTTTTGAATAAATGCATGGAAACATGATAAGCCAAGAGGCTCAATTTATCTTTGCTTATTGGTAGCTCTAGCCAGCATTTGACCCGTAGTCTCTATGAACAACTCTTCTGATGGATTTTATATGCCTTGTGTGATGTGAAAGATCAGTAAACAAACCCTTTATTGGAAATACATGAGGTTTTGTGGGGGGAAGTAGGAAAGAATGTGTCAAATTGTGATAAGTGATACTGTATAGAGTATTTCTGATTGACCATCCAGTAACTAACCTTTTAAGCTTCCGGTTTTTTGTTGGTAGCAGGCAGGAGAAAATAACCAGAGGAATGTGGATTGCTTGCAGCTAACCGGGACCTGTTCATCTGGTTAGTTTCTTTTCTCCCATGATCTTGAGGAAAGGTATTACTCTTGGATTCCAATTGGCCAAGAGGAAGGTTGAAGCTTTTTTTTTCTTTTTTTTTTTTTTTGAGATGGAGTTTTGCTCTTGTTACCCTGGCTGCAGTGCAGTGGCTCAAACCAGCGAAGGCCCACTACAACCTCCGCCTTGCAGGTTCAAGCGATTCTCCTGCCTCCTGAGTAGCTGGGATTATAGGCGCATACCACCATGCTCGGCTAATTTTTTTTGTATTTTTAGTAGAGACGGGGTTTCACCATGTTGGCGAGGCTAGTCTCGAACTCCTGACCTCAGGTGATCCGCTTGCCTCAGCCTCTCATAGTGCTGGGATTACAGGTGTGAGCCACTGTGCCTGGCCGAAGGTTCAAGCTTTTAATTCCAAATAGAATCTAGTGATTAGATTGATGCAGAAATTTAAACTGTACTTGGGCATCACTTGCTCCCATTGGCTCACCAGTGATTGTAACTGATACAGTTATGTGACAAAAGATTCATTCATTCAGCAGACAAATCAGAAGTGCTTATTGTGTGTCAGGCACCAGACATTGGTTTTTCTTTTTAGACATTGATTTTATATTAACTATTAGTTTCCATGTTACTTTACCTTGAAATGGGTCAGTAGATGGGTCAGAGAAATTTTCCTGGGGAGACACACTCTTCAGAAAAGGTCTAATTTAGGGAGGTGTTTCAAATAAGATTAATTTCCCAAATTTCAACAAAACTTTGTCAAGGAACATCATACAAAGTGTCTACCCTACGCTTTTATTCCAATCATTGAATCCTTTAGAGAGATTCCAAGGATTATGTTTCACTGAGACTGATTTTATTTACTAATGCCAATTTTGGGATTCAATCAATTTAGATTAGAAATCTGGAAGGGCCCTTCAGGATTGGAGACTAGATTGGTTTCTAGCTAGACACTCCCACCTTTGCAGTTTCAGGGTAAACTTTCTTTCCCAAGAAATAAAATCATCTATTAAGAATGCTACTTCTGCCAAGACTCGGTGTAGACCCAGCCGCCATTGCCAGATAGTCTGAAAAAGTATCAAAATATTAGCCGCCCCTCAGTGTGGTCATGAAGCAGGGCCAGGGGCAGTCTTTAGGTATAAAGCATAAAGTATGTCATAGACAGTAAATACTTGAATTTAGAATCCATTTGTGAAGAACTGTCAGCTTGAGTGTATTAAGGCACAAAAGCAACTTCTGAAAGCTTGATATTTGTTGCTGGTGCTCTGAATGATTTTGGAGTACCAGGACACTTAGCAAATGGTGGTATTATTTTTTTCAAGGAAAATAATGGTGTTCCACTCTCAGGGTCATAGATAACTAGAAAAAGAAAGGTCCAAGGCTTAAAAGAAAGATCAGCTATAGATTGGAAATAAGCTGAATGTCAGATATCCCTCTCACAGATGGGCACAGCTCCATGTAGAAGGTCTACCCAGTGTGTTGAGGTAGGGCGAGAAGTTGGCATTGCTGACATTGCGCTTCTCCTTGCTGTAATTTCAGACCCGGATGCAGAGTCTACAGCCTGACCCAGCTGCCCGCTATCGCAATGTGTTGGAAGCCCTCTGGAGGATTATAAGAACGGAGGGCCTATGGAGGCCCATGAGGGGGCTGAACGTCACAGCAACAGGCGCAGGGCCTGCCCACGCCCTTTATTTTGCCTGCTACGAAAAGTTAAAAAAGACATTGAGTGATGTAATCCACCCTGGGGGCAATAGCCATATTGCCAATGGTATTGAGCCTTCCTGTGCTGGTTCCCCCACTTTCCCAACTCTTTGGGCTTTGCTGCTGTCAGTGCTTTCCAGTCTCAGCATGGTTTGGAGCTGAAGCTTTGGGCTGGGATAGGCCAGATTTTAAGGGAGGGACTTCCAAACCTGATGTTCTCAGACAACGGGCCGCTTCAACCCTGCCTTTTCCTTTGGGGCATCTCAACAAAGGGTTACAGTATCCTCCCTTACCTACCAGCTTGACTTGTTCCTCTCATCTCCCTGGCATCAACTTCCAATGCCCTGGTAACGTGGAGACACACTGAACTACCCCCAGTGTATGTTTCATAGTTGTATGGTGTCCTGCTCCTCAGGGCAGGATTGGAGGCGACCCAGCCAGCCACCCAAGGAAGATACTAATGAAGCCCCTGCTTTTCGCCTCACCTTTTCAGGATCCTAACTCACCAGAGGCAGTTTGTGTTGTTGAGAACATGACAAAGCCTCATGACAAAGTGAATGGGGGTGGGGCCAAGGAACTGCATGAAGAAACCAGAAGGTTGTATGGAAGTAAGAGAAAGGATAGCAGCCTAGGGCTTCAGGACTGGCTGGAACCAAGTTGAGTGTGGAGAGGGTGAGGGGTAGAGTAGTTCAGGACCTGAACGAAAGATCTTTATAGACAAACGTTAGGATCTGCAAATGGGTTCTGCAGCAGGACAGAGGTGGGATTCTGTGGTGAGATTCTATGAGATCTGACCACCTGGCCCCCGTATCTCCCTCCACTGGTGGCAGGTGATGTGCTGGCATCCCTAGGCAGCAGTGTATCTGCTTCCTGTCTGGGGCGCTGCGTTTATTCTCAGAACTATCTTTATTGATAAGACCTGAGCTGGCCTTCCTATCATGGATGTGGAATGCATTGGTGACCTTACAAAGTTAGTGGGAACAGATACTTCCCCTTAAACAGGAGTTTAGGAGCAGTGGGTCCCCATCTTTTGGACTACCTCCTAACGTTACCTTGTGGTGTAGCACAGCCACTCCCCTTCAGTGGGAGACTTCAATGAGTTGGTCACACTCTCTTGGCCTTACATGTGGCAGTTGTTTTCTTGTTTGCAGGTGCGGCCGGGTGTGTGGCAACATTACTTCATGATGCAGCCATGAACCCTGCAGAAGGTAATGATTCCTCAACCTATCACTCTGGGCAGCTGCACCTGTGTTTCTTTCCAGTTTGCAGAAGAAAAGCCCATCAGTTTTGGTGGGAAATTCTCTTACCTTGTTTTACCGCTAGAGGGTGCTCCCTCCATGTTTTTGGTAGTTAGGAGGCACCCTCTTGGACAGGAAGCAGATTCACTGGGATTTCACTAATCCTTGGGGCTTCCCTAGAAAAAGATATGGCTCCATGTGGCCTGTTTTGGGGCTTTCCTGGGAGTCTCCTTTGTAGTAGATTTGATCTGTCCTGAAAGTTTAGCAGGTTCATTTTTCTTCAAAGAGGTGAAGATGGATTCTTTTTTTTTTTTTTGCCCTCTTATGATTTGCAGGAATTGACACTTAAATATATTGCCTTTCTTATCGGAATGAAGCTAGTTGGGATAGGAATGAAAGGTTAAATTGTAGAACTCAGTCCCTGCATTTCTACTGGGGTCTTGGCTTTTCAGTTGGAGGAAAATTCTCCAAAAACATTCTCCACGTGAGGATGAACAAATACAAGAGGATAGCATTGTTGCCACGTTCATTTTCTGTCTGGGCAAGGCCATGGGGTGGACAGAGCCAAAGCTAAGCTGAAGCTCCACAGAGCTCACACCATGTTATCTACTTGAGGGAGTGGGAGGTGTTTGAAAACTAAAGCCAACTCTTTTTGGCTAAGAATCTTTTCTTTGGTAGCACTTCTCTCTCCTCCCCTCTAGGAGGATCACCATCTCACATTTTAGAAGTTAGGTGCTCTTTGTATCTGAGGATTGGGATTGTTAGGGGCCTGTGTTCATGATAATGTTCACTGTCATGGAGTCATTTCTTGTTGGGAGTTGTAAGAGGGTAAGATTAGAGATAGGTACTTAGTTCAAGAAGACTCTCTGGAGCTCCCAAACCATAGATACGTCCTGTGTGTGAATTGGCTGGCTTTACAGAAGTCCTGATGGAAGTGGGTTTATTGTTTTTTGACTTGTTACCAACCCGCTGCCTACTCCCTCCCCTCAAAAAAGGGAAGCTGACTTCTCAGGTTAGCCAGCAGCTCACTCATACTTTTTTCTCTCTCTATTCCATTGGCTGATCTGCTGACTTGGGACTCTGAATCTGGATACTCTCCATCACTGGTTGGCCGCTGTCATCACTTCCTTCCTTGATGATGGCACTACTAGTGGTCAAGCAGAGGATGCAGATGTACAACTCACCATACCACCGGGTGACAGACTGTGTACGGGCAGTGTGGCAAAATGAAGGGGCCGGGGCCTTCTACCGCAGCTACACCACCCAGCTGACCATGAACGTTCCCTTCCAAGCCATTCACTTCATGACCTATGAATTCCTGCAGGAGCACTTTAACCCCCAGAGACGGTACAACCCAAGCTCCCACGTCCTCTCTGGAGCTTGCGCAGGAGCTGTAGCTGCCGCAGCCACAACCCCACTGGACGTTTGCAAAACACTGCTCAACACCCAGGAGTCCTTGGCTTTGAACTCACACATTACAGGACATATCACAGGCATGGCTAGTGCCTTCAGGACGGTATATCAAGTAGGTGGGGTGACCGCCTACTTCCGAGGGGTGCAAGCTAGAGTAATTTACCAGATCCCCTCCACAGCCATAGCGTGGTCTGTGTATGAGTTCTTCAAATACCTAATCACTAAACGGCAAGAAGAGTGGAGGGCCGGCAAGTGAAGTAGCACTGAACGAAGCCAGGGGTTCAGATGACACTGCTGCATCCTGCTCACATTCTCTGTCTCCTGGAATGCTCCCGCCTCAAGTGGAGTTAGAAGGAAGGTAGAGGGGCTCTCCCCCAGGATTTTGGTGTTTCGACTAACACCAGTTCCTGCCAACCTCTGTTGCCACCACCTTTCCTTCCAGGCCCTAAGCACGTGCAGCAAAGCACACCACAGCACCTTTGATAACCTCTCTCCATCCTGGGCCTGACGACCTGCTCTAGACTGTTATAGAGGGATAAGCAGCTCATTCCCCTGGTTCCTAATAAAAAGCCTTTAAATTAAATGGTTAATGGTTTCATTGGGTTTGTCTTGCTAAAGGGGAAGTGAAATGCTGTTAATTGTTCTTGACTTTCCTTTAAGCATAAATCAAGGGACCCAAAGGAAAGGTTTACTGAGTATGTCTGTAGTTTTTGTTTTCTGCTGATTTTCATGACGATTTAAGACATTAGTAGTAGGCCCCAAGCAATCTCTCTGATGGCTAGAACAACAAGCCCTTGACAGACCCCAACCAACCAGATGCTCCGGATGCCCACTATCTTCCCTAGGGCGGTAGTGCAGCGCAGAAGAGGCAGGTCTCTGCTCTAATTCGCAGCTCTCCCTGCAGCAGTGCTTTACATGTGGCACTTGGTTTCCATTTTAGTTGTGAAACTCAAATTATTCAGTGAGGCTGCAAGTCCTGAAGATTACATGGTAAAAAATACATTTCATTTTATTTTAAGGCTTTCACAGAGTACTTGAGCATGTGTGATCTCATTCGAACCTCAAAAATCTCTGAAGTAGGCAGTGCAGGTGTCATTTCTATTTCACAAGCAAGAAAGGTCAGAGGCTATGACTGGTCCAAAGCCTCACAGTCAGTGCAGAACTGGGACCCCAGCCCAAGTCTTTTGACCTCACAAGTGAATCTAAGCGTGGCTTCCTACAGATGGGAAATGAGTGGAGGGCATCTCACATCTACTGCCATCTACTGAGGAAGCTCCCTGATGACCAGCTGGGCTCTGCTTGGAGACTTTTCAGAGATGGGGCTTTCCCAGTGCTTGGTAGGTCAGTGTGTTTTTTTTTTTTTTTTTTTTTTTTTTTTTTTTTTTTAAATATCACTAGTTATTAGCAAGTTCTTCAGTACATAGAAATGTACCCCTCTGAGTCTTCCACCTATTCTTGTTAGCTCATCTGTCATTCATTCATTAACTATTGAGTGTCTCTGTGCCAAGCACTGGTGTTGGAAATACGATAGATAAAACAATCCCAGCCCTCAAGGAGCTTATTGTCTGGAGAGGAAGATACATGGAAACAGGCAATCACAAGATAAAACGACAGGAGAGAAGATAGAATACACCTAGGATACTCAGAAGACAGAAGGATACCCAGCGTAGCCTTGGATGACCAGGGTAGACTTTTGGAGGAAGTGACATCTGAGGTAACACCTGGAAGGCAAATGAGCTAACTTGGTGAACAGGGGAGGGGTTATGTTCTAGACAAAGACCTAGAGGTAAGAGAATTAAAAAGTATTTGGGATTCAGTGTGCAAGTGGTTTGGTAGGACTGAAACAGTCTGGGCAAGACTTGCAGCCTGAGAGCCAAGCCGAGACTGGGTCTTCAAAGCAATGCTGCGGAGTTTAGGTTTATCCTGAAGGCCATACAAAAGCATGATGGAGTTTTAAGCAGAGGTGTGGTGTGATCAGATTTACAATTTAAACAGATCACTTAGGCTCTCTGGAGAAAGGATTAGAGGAGCAAGACTGGACAGGCAGGCCAACTGGTTGGGAGGCTGCTGTGGTAATCCAGGCAAGTGCATGGTGGTCTGAAGCAGGACTGTGGCATGGAGCCGGGAGCCATGTTAGGATTGTAGAAGCAATAGGATTCGGTCACAAAGTAGATCTTGTCCTCCTCCCACCTGACAGCCCTTCAATATCTATGGAGAATCATGTCTGAATGCACTTGAAAAAAACTGTCAAGAAACCAGCAGGGTCTCCTGTTCTAAGCTTTATTTAAGTAGGCTATCCTGCCCCTCTGATTTAGCATGGAGAGGGGAGATGTTAATAGTGCTAAGCAGTGGTTTCTGAGTAAAAAGAGTGTGATGATATCATTGTAGAAGGCCATTTCAGAGGGTTTGCTAGTAAAAATGTAATTGAGTAGCTGCCTCCCAGTATGGACTGAGCAAGAGAGCAAAGAGATGGCTGTCAGGACCTAGTCCCTGCAGTCAGCTTTACAGAGCTGTCTGGCATGGTATCTGGCACACAGTAGACACGATGGCAATAAGGCTCATTTTTCAAGAATAGAACGCGGGATAATTTCTTAAAGATTGGTAGCCGCTAGAGACCACCTCTGCTCTAATGCTGTTCACAAATAATGAGAAAAGAATACAAAAGTGATCTTCCAGCCTCTGATTGTGCTGTAGCTACTGGAGGACATTTAATCTGGAATCTGGACAGGACATTAGGTTCTGCAGGTCTCTTGGCCCAGTCACTAGAGGTCAAAGAGGAGATAGAGGCAGAATAATGTGATAGGTTGAACATTAGCAATGCCAGTGACTGGATACCTGGGTCATTTCCAAGGGGCTCAGCAGGTCCAGGAGAACTGTGGGTGTTTGGGGGCATCCCCAGGTCCAGAGCCTCTGTGGAATGCCAGATAATTTATGTGACACCTGGAGAATCCAGTACCCAGCCATCATAAGTGGCCAATTCCTGCACAGTGCTATGTGTCAGGGAAAATGAGAAAATAAGTCACAATTTGGCCAGAGGAAAATGTTCTTCACTGGACAGCTGAGACCAACATGAGTGAAACAAACTTGTAATAACACAAGACAGTATATAGACATGTACTGGATTATACAGAAATTAACAATGAGATTTAGAGACAGGAAAGATAAGTGTAGGTCAGAGTAAACAGAGAAGAAGGTGGCTTTGATGAACAGAATTTAAAAATACTTTTGTAAAAGCCAATAAAAGTTGAATCATGCTAATTTTATAAAATTTAAGAAGCATTGATAAAAAGAAAATACTTCCAATCCCATTACCCAGAGAACTTGACCTTCTAACAGAGCTTTGCAGCAATGATACGGACAGCCTTGCACAGCAGCAAGCTCTCAAATACAGGAGCTGGGGCTGGTCAGCCCTGCCAGGGATTCTATACAGTGAAGTCAAGCTCCCGGAGGGATGCAAAGCAAGATGACCTCTAAGAAGCCTCCTAGCCCTAGATGTTCTCAGGGACAGTCTCAGCCCCACTATCCTCTAACCTGCATCCTGGTCGTCAGGCCATATCTCTTCAGTGCCTGTCAGGAGGTGGTTCCAGGCTGTCTCACTGCTCTGAACTTTCTCTCTCCACCAACCTATCTACTCTCATTTTGATCATTCAGAGTCTACCTACCCATAGCAATGTTTCTGATAATAAATTATTATAAAGGTGCCAAGGGGGCCGGGCATGGTGGCTCAAGCCTGTAATCCCAGCACTTTGGGAGGCCAAGGCAGGCAGATCACTTAAGCCCAGGAGTTCGAGACCAGCCTGGCCAACATAGTGAAACCCCATCTCTACTAAATATACAAAAATTAGCTGAGGGTGGTGGCATGCACCTGTAGTCCCAGCTACTTGGGGGGCTGAAGCACAGGAATCGCTCGAACCTAGGAGGCAGAGGTTGTAGTAGGCCAAGATGGTGCCACTGCACTCCAACCTGGGTGACAGATCAAGACTCTGTCTCAAAAAATAAAAATAAAAATAAAGTGCCACAGGGGACTTACTGAATAAGATACTGATATTATCAAACATTCATACAATGAAATGTGGCATGGCCATTTACACTGAGGTGATGGAAGAAAATTAATGATGTGGAAAGATAGACACTGTATTCTGTTATGTGAAAGAAATTGGTTACAGTGAGATCTCATTCTTGAAAATTACAAAAAAAAATTATACATAAAAAAACAACGTATACATCAAAATACTGGATGCGCAGTATTTTGTTATTTTGTGGAACCTTAGACTGGTGAGTGGAGAACAAGTTCTGTCAGAGTCACACACAGTATTCCATACATTGCCACCACTGCCACCACCACCTCTGCCACCCACATTCACACACTAAGTAGAAAGGAAAATGTTTACACTTCGAGGCACTTAAATCTTTCTTGTAATTTCCACCTATGATAATACTTCTGCTTGCTGGGGCAGCACAAATCAGACTAATCCTTCTCTCTGACAGCCCTTCAAAAATATTAAGACAGCTGTCATATCACCCTGGGAGGGGTCAGAGCATGGAGGTCCTGAAAGCTAGGCAGAGGAGTTTAGAGTTGACTTGGCAGCTAATGAGGAGCTCTTGTGGTTCTTGAGCAGGGAGGGACATGACTAAAGTAATATCTGAGGACAATTCAACCAGCAGCCCAGATACAGGAGACCCTGGAGCAGGGAGAGCCTGAGCTAGAGACAGGGACTCCAGCAGAGGGGCTACTGTCATCGTTTAAACAAAGATGAACCTGAGAAAAATTATTACAAGAAGATGAAAAGCACCTGATGATGGTTTAGACATTCATGTGGGAACTTACCTGTAGGTTGTCTTGTACTCATCTGACTGTGTTTTGTCTCTCTAGATTAAAACCCAGAATCCCCCTCTTTCTGCACTGCAGTACTCATAATGGATGCATGATAACTACTTGCTTCCCATGGTCAGACACCAAGACTTGTCTGGAACATGATGGTACTGGGGTTAGAAATGAGCCATTTCATTTCACAAACATAGATTGAGCAGATGGGGGCACTGGAGTAGATGCTAGGCCTATGTGATGGTCAGTTTTATGTGTCAGCATGGCAAAGCTACAGTCCTCAGTTATTTAAACACTAATTTAGGTGGTGTTGTCACCGAGGTGATGATGCAACTCAAGCAGAAATTATGGTGTCTAAACAAAGGCAGTGATGGGAAAGAGTGGAAGAGACAAAGTGGAGGGATATTTAGGAAGTTGATCAACTGCACTTGGCCATCAGATGTACTTGGGGTTACAGAGAAGGAAGATTCTTAGATGGCTTGCAAATTCTAAAAGGAAAACAAGTTTTTTGGATAGGAATAAGAACTGGAGTTATGAACATGTATTTAAGGCCTGAGTAGATTTTCAGGATCTGCAATATGGATGTAGAAATACACGGTACAGAGGTTACAGCTTAGCCATAGAGGGGACGGAGAAAGTGAGCATTTAAAATAAGTACTCTTTTTTAACCTCTTTTAAAAAAAAAATACATAAAACGCACAGCTGGATGAAATTTGACATATATTTGCTCCTACGTAACTACCACGCTGACACATAGC